AGTGGTTTCATAAGCAAAATTTTAAGATAATTTTACTACAGGTGATAATCACCTGTGGTGTAAATTAGAAATTTTCTTTAAAATATTTTATATATATGTTTATATACAATAAAATCTTACTTAAAATTTTTTAAATATATCTAAATCTACTAATATAATCTCATTTAACTATTATACATTATTTCTTTTAAGAAATAATATTTAATAGCCTCAACCAGATAGCAAAACTACTCATATCTGTGTCTACTAGTTTTATTATATAAAAGATTGTAACAATTAGAGAGTCTATTTTTATTAGGTAATTTTGATTTATTATAACTATGACCCCTCTCTCCTCATCTGACAATCTATTAAGCATATTCATAAACTTTGACCAATCAAATTTTAAGTTGGCAGGGTAATGTGACCTAGTCATCCAAAAACATGATTCGAGCCATATAATTCGAGATCCAAAATGCACATTGATCAACAAAAACGAAGGTGTTAATTGGGGTTTGGCTTGAGGTGATGCTCTATTGAGAATAATAATAAAGCACCTCTAGTATTCACATGGTGGGAACTAAAGTCATTGTCATATAAATGCATATGAATTGCTTATCACTAGTCATAGATCTCCTGATACTCTAAATAGTTATATTGCTTGTAAGATCATAGTCGTAGTAGTAACGTACATATGTATATAGATATATATATACAATAATGATACTATTAAATTTGATCAATAAAATAATCATTATAATAAATCTGAATTTTGATTTAACAATTCAAATTCAAATTCGAAGCTAATGATCACTAAATAAATTCAGATTTAAAAAATAAAATAAATTTGAATCGAAACTCTAATTGAAGCAACAAATATATTTAATTTGTTAAACAGTTTTTTATTATTTAAAAATTGCTCTTGATCACTCTGACTAATTATTAAAAACACTATATTCTATTTAAAGAATTAAATTTTCCACTATATTCTTCATAGTATTCAAGATTAAATCTACTAACCAAATAAGTTAAGTCATGAAATTTATAGTCATACAATTAAATACTAACAAAACAAAATATAGTAATATTAAAAAAGGTAAAACCTTATAGATGGCTGTACTCAAAAACGTGAAGATTCAAAGTAATTTTTAAATTATATAATAAAAATGAAATCAAAATTATGAGAAATTCAAGAAAAAAACAACAAAAAAAATTTATTATAAAAAATTTTTTTATTATAGTTTGCAAAATTATATGAAATTTGATCATTAAAAAAAAAGTGATCACTGATTTCTGATTACTGATTTCTGATTTCTTCAACAATTTTTTTAATTTTTAGACTTGACAAAATTTGCGTATTTATTATTTGTAAAAATTTGATTGAATATTTTAATTCGCAACTTCTATTTCTGCAAATATATTATAAAATGATGAGTATACAACTCTTATCTCTATAAAAATAATAAAATTTTTACAAAATAATAACTGCACAAATATTGTCTAATCTAAAAGTCAAAGAAATCAAAAATCAGTAATCAGAAATCATAATTACTTTTTTTTTTTAATGATTTTTAAATTTTATATAATTTTGCAAACCGCAATAAATAAATACTCTCCTTTTTGTGATCCAAGCCAAATTACCACAAAAATTCATTAGATTTACCTTTAAAGTATATTGAATAAAGCTCTTTTTCGATTAATTTATTCTAATAGTATACCTTAAAAAAACCATCTAATTTTGCTATTAATGCCACTAGAAAGATAATTGATAAGTATTATAAATAAATTTTATACTAATCAATCAAGTATATAAAGAGCAATTTACCTTGGCTCGTAGTCTTCAAAGAATTCAAATATACAAATATTCTTGGCACCACCAAAGTATAGCAAATTATATATATATAAAAATCCTTACAATATATATTAAAAATATGTAAATGCATATGTGTATTTTAAAATAGCATCTACTTAAAATCCCTACTCTAATAAAGAAGAGTTATACAATGAAGTATCTAATGAATAGAAATACTAAAAAATAATGAAAACAAAATTCAAAATAAAATCTCGGATTATTTAACTACACCAATTTATATTCATAGATGTATGCAAACTATTAGAACTATTCAAGTACAACTTCAAATTAGTTCGTCTATGAATTCATCTAGCAATTCATCTAATATTCCAAAAGAAATTTCAGAAAAAATTCTATATAATGCAGCACCCAAAAAAGAATTATAGAACTGATTTAAAATACAAATAAGGAATTAGATGAAATAAAAAAATGGTAGTGATTACAACGAATACAGAATTAAAAGCACAATTTGTTTCACAAATTGATGATATACAAACCGAAATTAACAATAAAAAAAATCAACTTAACAAACTCAAACGGCATGCTTTCTCACAACATAAGTCTCAGACTAAAAAACTTAAACAATTAAATGAAGAAAATATAGTAGTCAGATATGACTCACCCAGTCATCTCTCAGTATTATTCGAGTACTCAGACCTTTATGAGCAAATTCATGAATGCATTGAGTTTGGCAAAACAGATGCTAAAAAAAGGTATGAAGCAATTAAGATTAGAATAGTTGATTATTTACATAGTGAACTAGATACAAGATACCAAGTGTACTTGTCTCACAACTGCTTAAAAATTTACTTGTTATCTCGAAATAGTAGAAGCATTAGTTCAAGGGCTTATCATTATACAGCATTAGTAGATATTACTGGGGTATCACAAGATAAAAAAAAAATTATATTGATGAATACTACTATCTTGATTTAGTAAAAATACAAAACAGTTTGTATTAACCTTTTTGGATCATGCTATTATCATATCTTAGGATGACAAGTCCAAAGTTCTCATTGAAATTCCTGTAGTTGATAAATATTTTCATATAATGCAAACTATCTGTGAACTCGTAGCAGTAGCAGACCATAATTTTCTAATTGATGATGCTCAAAAATTGGTTCTTTCAGTTTATTTAATAATTAATTTGAATGAAGCAAATGAGTCTCTGCACAATAGACAATTAGCAATTTTTGTAAGACCCCAATGGTATATAGGCTCAACATCGGCTACTCACATGGCTGATATTCTTGTTTTGGCAGAAAATATTCAATTCACTAAAGTATTCCAAAATAAAGATAATATAAAGCCACTCTGGACTTTCCTCATAGATGGTGGTCCTGATGAAAACCCAAAGTATCTAAAAAACATACATCAATATTGTAAACTTTTTTGCTTTTTCAACCTTGATTATCTTACTATATGCACTCATGCTCCAGGACAGTCAGCCTATAATTCAGTAGAAAGAAGTATGGCTACTCTCTCGGGAAAACTTGCGAGAATCACTTTGCCTATATATAAGTATAGAACTCATCTTGATTTACAAGAAAAGATACAAGATATTGAATTGGGTCTCTGCAACTTTTGTTATGCAGGAGAAAGACTTTGTAAACTTTAGAGAAAAGATTTTATATTTGGAAAGCCTGTTTTTACTGAATATATCGATCAACCTAGTACACCATTTATTGGGCTAGAATTTCCAGAAATGATTAATGAACAAGAAATACAACAAAAAAATAAAAAAATAAAAAAAAAATCAAATCAAATTGAAAAAGATGACTCGTCTGTGCCATGGTATTGAATTGAGAATTATTGCCAAATATATCAGTATTTTCTTGACATTCACAAGTGTAATAACCTCACATATCACTCCTCTAAATATGCGAAAGAAGCAATAGATCTACTAGCAATTAATAATAGTTTTCTTCCATCCATAATAAAAGGTAAAGGATAAATTAGTCCTAAGAAAATGGATGAAGTATCTGAGACTTCTTGACTGACAAATGTACCGGAGATGTCTTGGTGATACAAGTTTAGTTACATT